CCGACTTAACCAGTCGAGTTGTTTTAACAGAGAGAGTCAGGCAGGGTTGCGTCTGTTCTTTCACATCTGGTAGCTCCACTAAACCACTTGCAGCTTAAGTGCCTTGCTCAAGGGTAACCTAATGGTGCCGAACAGCATGTCTCATTGACGTTCAGTCACTTCAATCGGTGCAGGGACTTTGGCTGGCAACGTTCCAGGTCATTATGCGTTGAACATGCCATCCTGCTCTTTCTTACAGATGTTGCATGCAGTTCCACTTCTCGTTCCCCTCTCTATAACTACACTTCAACTTTGTAGATGTTTATCTAACGTCGTTTTCCTAAATGAGTGTAAGCATTATTCTCACGGACAATTCACCAGCATCACCTGTGGACAGAAACTCACTTATCTTTCCGTTGAGCCCAAACATTTTAGCCTGAATGGTTCGTTGCTGGTTTTCTTGCTGTGATGCATTTTGTGTAAGAGCAGTGAAAAGACAGAGGGAGCACAGCAGCAGTGTCAGAGAGTAGGAACAAACTGAACTGAAAGATACTGGAAGGTTTATTACATAAGAGCATATCCTAGATTCTTGATAAACAGGTTGGTTTGTTAGTTTTATATGATTTTTTTGTGTTACCACTTTTGCAAATTTACAATAAAAGGTAAATGAACTGTTCTAATATAGATTCTAATTGACCAATCAAAGGATTTTACAGTACAAGTCACAATTACCTATTTACACACACATTCAAACAGCACTCCTATAAACATTACACAGAACTTCACCATCACACACCACCCACTGTTGGACGACTGTATTTACCTCCTGAGCCACAGCTGCCCTATAAATCTAACTTCTTCAGTAAAGTGGAGAATTAATGCCATTTATGAATTGAAAGGATTTAATTCAGTTAAACATAGTTTTTGAAGAATAGAGGTCACTGTGGCCAAAAGTGGCAATCATGGGAAACCTGTAAATGCATTGCGTAACAGTAGCAAGAGTTGAGGAGGGTCATACGAGTCAGAAAACTGAATGCGCTAAATGTCATTAGCGACTATTACAATTTCAGGTTTCAGTATCTGATGTTGAAGAATGTTTAAAATTCACCTTCTGTGTTATGTTATACTCAGAGGAAGAAATGAAATATTTTGGGTCTGACGTGACTTTGCTTTCCAATGCAAACCAATCTGTTGTAACCTGAGCTCTTTAATGTGGGAGAGTGACCAGTTCATACAACAGTGAACTCTGGGTCAATGCAACAACTTGCACTCCCACTTTCACAGACACACACATAAAACATGTTCAAACTAGAGGTGGGAATCTCCAGGCTCCTCACGATTCCATTCAGATACGATGTTACATTATCGAAGCTCATCAACTAAATGGATTTATTTTATTGTATTTCTTTTTCTTTTCAGAAAACATGACTCTGTTATGTTTGGTCTCTGCGTGGATGCCGAGTCGTCCACGTCCGCACCGCATTGAAAAAACATTTTCCCACTTCTAGGTCAAACGTGCACAAACTGCCAGAGGAGAGAGTGAACATAACAGCAGGAGGAGGCTCAGTCTGGGTCAGTGTTATTTGACATGAGACTAAAACAGCCTTCAGGTCTCTTAGCAAAGCAAACCCCTCCGATAGAGTGATGCACAAGAGCAGTCTTAACCAACGGCTTGCATTTTTCCATCCGAGCCATCATGGTTGTTGCTTTTCAAACCAGACGTTCACCGCCTGTATCGAGCAAATGTGTTCTACTCAAAGCCAGAGCTTAGCGTGTGTGATATTGTGTGTCTGTGTGCATGTGCTGTGAGACCACAGTCTCTGCAAACTGTGGGGGGATATGACCACAGACTACACACACTGAAAGCCACAGACTCCAGTCCTCCATCTATCTCACCATCCCCATTTTGACCTCCCCCCACTGAGCACCAAGTGGGGCCACAGACTCCGATCCCACCATCCATCTACCCGCAGCCTTCATCCACCACCACCGGCCTTTCATCCGTCCATCCAACCCCCCCTCACATGACCGCCCTGATACCTATCGTTCATCTGTCTTTGTCAATCACTAGCCACACTTATTGCTCAATTAGAACATTTTCCAATAGAGAAAAGCTCTCTTCGATTAAATCCAATGTTTTGTTCATGCCCACAGTTTCCAAGACTCTGGTAAAAGCTATTATCCAGGCTGATACCTCTTGCGTCTACCTCCCACCCTCCTCAAAAGCAAAACCTCCGACCTATTCCTAATTTCCCTTAATGCTAGTCCAGCTCCTTCCCTCCCCTCGCATCTCCAAACCTCAGACCACAGAGCTTTAATAGGAGGGTTAAGAGGTAATTCCTATCACACTGCCATCATTTAATATCTAACCAAGGCTGACAGAGAGGAAGGTTATGAACCTAAACCAGAAAGCCACTAGCTAACCTCCCTGTCTCCTCCTTCTTACTTATTCTCATTCTCCCATTCAGCCTCACTCCACCCGACTTTTTTACCTTCTCTTTCCTCTCATTCCACCTCCATTTTTGCCTCATCTGTGTTTCTCTCTTACACCCGCTCCCTCTATATGCCTTGCTATTTACATTTCCGACACTCAATTTGCAGAAAATCACAGCGCGGATGAGATGAAAAGCACCGAAAAGAAAGAAGGAAGAGAAAAATGAGAAAAGCGGACAGAAAAAAAAATAAAGAGCAGGAGGAAACTCCAGACACTGTAATTTAGACTGTGCTGATGGCAAAGCAGGGATATAAAGAAAATGAGATTTATAATGTTAAGTTTGGAACACGCTCACCCTTTCCACTCTCTTACTGAGAGCTCTATAGGGATCCATATTCGACCGGTGATAAATAAAAGCTATCGAGACCAATTAGTGGTTTAATGGAATAGTGAGCCAGGCAGAGGAGGAAATAAGACTGTCACTCATGAGGAACAAGAGGAAGGGCTGGAAAAAAGAAATAAACGCAGTGTAATATGTAAATATGTGTGTGTGTGTGTGTGTGTGTGTGTGTGTGTGTGTGTGTGTGTGATGTTCACATGAGGGCTTCTGACTGTGTGTGATCCTGCAAGCGGCAGTTGACATAAACGACAATGTGCTTTCAACCACAACAGGCTACTTTGCCGTCTAGAGCAATAAATCACAGAATACCACAGAAATATGAAACACATGATCAGTCAGTGCGAGTTTTTAAAAGAAGGTTCACAAGGTGCATTTCACGACATCTGTTTGAAAACACTCACAAAGAAATATCACAAAAACTTCTACGTTCGGAGGGGAGTAAAACCTGGTGTAAGTTAAATGCGGCAGAGTGCGATGGAAAAGAATTCATAATGACTTATGGATATCATGTGACTTGTCTTGGCCTCCAGTTGGTTTTTAACAAATGTATATACTGTACGTACACAGGGCTGTAACCTGAACTCTTTTAAGAGCAAAGACCTTATTTAGTTGTTCAGTATTCACAGAACAGTAGTGAATGGAAACACACATAAATTCACATTTTCTTTTGCAGATTTTTGGAAAACTTAGTTAAAATGTACGATCATTTGGAAGGAAATCAGACTACATCGAAGCTCTTTGAAGATGTCATCTCCCGGTGGCTTTTCTTCAGGAGGCCATTTGATAAAGTGCTATACATAATACAAACCATATTTTTGATGTGCTTCACAGATACATATTTCTTTAATAGACTGCAAGCCTGGAGTGCATATTGTCAGTGTGCAATCAGAACTACGTATTTACAAAATGTTTTGATGAGAAAGGTAAGCAGCTTTACTTTTAGGTTAATGACAAAGCTCTTTTCAATTATACTTTATTTAGTTTTTCTGTTTCACTTAATGTGCAGGAGAGTTGTTTGATTCCACAAAAGAGAATTCCATCCTTCAATTTATTTGTTTCTAAAAGACTGAAAAATAAGATCTATCTATGATTTGCTGTGGATACGACCTGTGTTAATGTTGGAAGAATCATACTGTGGACAGAAATAAATTCTCCCATCAATCAATCTGCAATCATTTCACATATTCATCTGGACGGTTCAGCTCATTCTAACTCTGCAGAGACTCTGGGTTCCAATTGAAAATCACTTAAACATCCATGAACAGAAGGTGTTCCGCTTTGTGAAAACAATATAGAAGAGAGAAGTGACGAGTTCCCAGCACTGAAATGTCCTTCCAACACACACAAATACCAATAAAGTATATCAACATGATTTAAGCATGCACACATAGGTACATCATATATAAGCTCAAGAATGTAGACAATAATTATTTCAGACACATACAAAAGGAGATATGCACCAGAGCTACACATACGCACAGTCTGTTCCTCCGGCTTCACTTGAAGTCAGCCCAATATAAACAGCTATAAAGTTTAGAAGGTGTTTCAACCTTCAGCCTGAGCTGACAGAGACTCTCTGAGGAGAAGGCAAATAGAAAACCTGAGTCGAAAGAAAGAGAACAGAAAGAAAGGGTGGGTGACTCTATGAGATTAAAAACAGAGAAATAGAGAGAGAATGAGACAGAGGTAGAAAGAGAAGAAGTAGAGGGGATGTCTGGGAATGTGAGATGAAAGAGAGGGAAGGTTTAGTGGGACACTTCCCTGCATCGGTGTGACCTTCTCTTACACTCCGAGTACTCTGGGAAAAGTCCATACTCCGGAATAAAAATTCCTCACCAATCCAAGGAAAACATTCACCCCAGGCACACTTTCACCTCTTAAAATAATGCGCACACACCTACACACATATATATCTGACACGCACGCTCTTTTTCACCTCTCACCAGGAGCACAGAGCAGCACTGTGTCACCTGGCACGGGACTTGAACCTTCAACCTGGATAAAAGCTCTGACATTGCACCGTGACCGTGTTTTCACATGGATCACGTAACACATCAAAAGAGACAGAGAAGGGAAGTGAGAGGCAGAGTTATGGAGGAAGAGATGGAGAAAGATGGGAGCATTGAGAAAAGTAGAATCTAGAATTGTTGGATGGGGGGGATGGAAAAACAAAAAAAGGGTACTCACAGTCGTCCTAGTTTGGGGTTGGACTGGAAGAGAAGCTCTGGGAGAACCTGGAGTTTATTTCTGTTCACACGACTGCAGGGACAAAAAGAAAATAGAGTTTAAAGTGAAAAGGTTTGAGATGTTAAACATCAGCATGAAATAAATAATACTACTAATAAATCACTCAGAGTCACTTTTGTGTTTACTATCATGGAGCAGCAGAGAGCATCACCTTAAAGGTCAGTGGGTTTACGGTTCAAAGGTGAAACTTATGGAAAAGTCTGTCTGGTTTCCTGTGATCGTGACCCACAGGTTATCATGATGTGTTCTCTCTGTGTAAGCTGCAGTTATCGTGCTGTAAGCTCTTTAAAGCCAGTTATCACTATCATTCCTGCATGTGCTTGAACCCGAGAGCGAGAGAAGGAACGTGTCTTCCAGGTCATCTCCGCAACAGTGGAAGATATGTTCGGAACAAATAAACTGAGTCAGGACAACCGTGTTAAATACATTCTAATGACAGTCTTAATCTAGTTTGTCTTCATGTGAAGAAGACGACTGTGTATCTAATTAGCCTCGTCTTACTGACCTACATTTTCTGAAACGACAAAAATGCACAAAAGAGCTTTGTCCAGGAATTCATGCTTGATATTTTTCTCTCATGAATCTGACCTGACAGATTATCCGTCCTGTATTAAACCACTAACACTGGTCAAGAAATACAAATGTGAAAGGCTTTGGGCACTTGAACCCAAGTTTTCCAAGAAGGGGTTTCACGTGCATGAGGCCAACATCAACAACCTCATGTCATAGTTTAAAAAAAGTATAAATGCCCACACGAAAAAAGACAAGATTTATTGCATGTGTAAAATGACTTAATGCATTACAGGATCATTGTGACATTAAAGACCAGCCAGTTATTTAATGTGCCATCAAAGAAACAACAATGGAGAATAAGGAGATTGCATTCTTCC